GATTGCGATATAAGTGACTATAATTGTTGTATTTTGATAAATCCGACTCTTGTTAAATTGTTCAATAGTTCTTTTGTTGGGCAATTTTTTATTAGGCAACATTTTCTAATTGTGATGCGGTTAAATGAGAAGGGCGAAACAATTTTTATGGTAAGTGATACTTATTTTCGCTGGGACAGAAAAAAAAAAATAAACGCAAAAAATATGCCTTTAGTTTTGGCTGCTTTGAGAAATTATCTTGTCGAAGAATATAAAGTTTTTATGGTGAGTGATACTTATTTTCGCTGGGACATGAAAAAAAAGATTAACGCAAAAAATATGCCTTTAGTTTTAATGGCTATCAGAAATTATCATGTCGAAGAATATGAAGAATATTCAAAGTCGAAAATAATCGAGCTAAAGACAACAAATAATTACTTAAAAATGAAAGTTGACAAGTTAAGCAAGTTTTGTGCGCAAAGGTATGAATACGAAATTGTTTTATGGACTAATATAGAAAATGTTTTAACTTATGATAAAGTAAAAAATGCAAATGCTGTAATGGAGAAGTTGGTTGACGAAGAACCTTAGCAATAATTAAAGAAAAGAAAAGTTTTTATGATTTTATAATAATTCAGAGATTTTAATATTTTTGTATTTGTATTTAATTGAAATAATTTTTAATGAAGAATGAATTTTTTCGTAATTTCAATAGTTTGTACTCGATTTTTATATTAAAAATTTAAATAATAACTATCTTTAAATTTTTTTTCTTTTTTATTTACCTTTAGTTTTTCCATATTTTTATTTTTATTTTGGAATAACCTCTTGAATTTTTAACAATGTGTTATATGCATTTTTTTGTTCGTCATTCATTTCCATCCCTATTATATAAAAGTTAAAGGACAGTTTTGTATTGCTTTTTAGTGTTTTATGTTTAGTTAGTAATTGAAATAATGTTATATATTCTCAAGAATAGTAAAAATGTCTCTATTTTTAATAAAATATATTTATGTTTTAAAGACATATTTGTATAATATAGACGTAATTTCTTTTAACTAGAAATTGATAAAGTCCTTATTTACAGTTTATCTCTATTAAAAAAATATATCTTTTATTTTTAAAGAATATTGCTTGTGAAGCAACTTGGATATCAAAGTTATCGATATTCTGATGGTATTTAAAAGAAGGATATTAAAAAAAATCTATGTAATCACAGCACTTGAGGAAACAACAGCGATACAATAAAAAATGCAAACTATCGAGTTTTCTAGTAAAACTACAAAGTATATTAACAGTGACGCTTTGCCCCCTGGTATTTATTAGTTTATTAATGAAGATTTTAAAAATGATTCTTATTTCATTATTACTGTTCGTCTAATAGCGCAATATGACGACATCAGTAAAAAATGGTTTGATTTCGATATAAGTGACTATAATTGTTGTACTTTGATAAATCCGACACTTGTTAAATTGTTCAATAGTTCTTTTGTTAGGCAATTTTTTATTAGGCAACATTTTCTAAATGTGATGCGGTTAAATGAAAAGGGCGAAACAATTTTCGTTGTAAGTGATACTTATTTTCGCTAGGACAGAAAAAAGAAAATAAACGCAAAAAATATGACTTTAGTTTTGGCTGCTTTGAGAAATTATCTTGTCAAAGAATATGAAGAATATTCAAAGTCGAAAATAATCGAGCTAAAGACAACAAATAATTACTTAAAAATGGAAGTTGACAAGTTAAGCAAGTTTTGTGCGCAAAGGTATGAATACGAAACTGTTTTATTGACTTAAATAGAAAATGTTATAACCTGTGATGAAGTAAAAAGTGCAAATGCTGTTATGGATCAGTTGGTTGACGAAGAACCTTAGCAATAATAAAAGAAAAGAAAAGTTTTTATGATTTTATAATAATTCAGAGATTGTAATATTTTTGTATTCGTATTTAATAGTAATAATTTTTAATGACAAATGAATTTTTTCGTAATTTCAATAGTTTGTACTCGAATTTTATATTAAAAATTTAAATAATAACTATCTTTAAATTTTTTTTTTTTTTTTATTTACCTTTAGTATTTCCATATTTTTATTTTTATTTTGGAATAACCTCTTGAATTTTTAACAATGTGTTATATGCATTTTTTTGTTCGTCATTCATTTCCATCCCTATTATATAAAAGTTAAAGGACAGTTTTGTATTGCTTTTTAAAGTTTTATGTTTAGTTAGGGATTGAAATAGTGTTATATATTCTCAAGAATAGTAAAAATGTCTCTATTTTTAATGAAATATATTTATATAAGACATATTTGTATAATATAGTCGTAATTTCTTTTAACTAGAAATTGATAAAGTCCTTGTTTACAGTTTATCTCTATTTTAAAAATATATCTTTTATTTTTTAAGATTATTGCTTGTGAAGCAACTTGGATATCAAAGTTATTGATATTCTAATAGTATTTAAAAAAAGGACATTAAAAAAAATCTATGTAATCACAGCACTTAAAGGCAACAACAGTGACACAAAAAATGCAAACTATCGAGTTTTCTAGTAAAACTACAAAGTATATTAACAGTCACGCTTTGCCCCCTGGTATTTATCAGTTTATTAATGAAGATTTTAAAAATGATTCTTATTTTATTATTACTTTTCGTCTAATAGCGCTTTATGATGACATCAGTAAAAAATGGTTTGATTGCGATATAAGTGACTATAATTGTTGTATTTTGATAAATCCAACACTTGTTAAATTGTTCAATAGTTCTTTTGTTGGGCAATTTTTTATTAGGCAACATTTTCTAATTGTGATGCGGTTAAATGAGAAGGGTGAAACAATTTTCATGGTAAGTGATACTTATTTTCGCTGGGACATGAAAAAAAAGATTAACGCAAAAAATATGCCTTTAGTTTTAATGGCTATCAGAAATTATCATGTCGAAGAATATGAAGAATTTTCAAAGTCGAAAATAATCGAGCTAAAGACAACAAATAATTACTTAAAAATGAAAGTTGACAAGTTAAGCAAGTTTTGTGCGCAAAGGTATGAATACGAAATTGTTTAATGGACTAATATAGAAAATGTTTTAACTTATGATAAAGTAAAAAATGCAAATGCTGTAATGGGGAAGTTGGTTGACGAAGAACCTTAGCAATAATAAAAGAAAAGAAAAGTTTTTATGATTTTATAATAATTCAGAGATTTTAATATTTTTGTATTCATATTTTATAGAAATAATTTTTAATGACGAATGAATTTTTTCGTAATTTCAATAGTTTGTACTCGATTTTTATATCAAAAATTTAAATAATAACTATCTTTAATTTTTTTTTCTTTTTTATTTACCTTTAGTATTTCCATATTTTTATTTTTATTTTGGAATAACCTCTTGAGTTTTTAACAATGTGTTATATGCATTTTTTTGTTCGTCATTCATTTCCATCCCTATTATATAAAAGTTAAAGGACAGTTTTATATTGCTTTTTAGTGTTTTATGTTTAGTTAGTAATTGAAATAATGTTATATATTCTCAAGAATAGTAAAAATGTCTCTATTTTTAATAAAATATATTTATGTTTTAAAGACATATTTGTATAATATAGACGTAATTTCTTTTAACTAGAAATTGATAGAGTCCTTATTTACAGTTTATCTCTATTGAAAAAATATATCTTTTTTTTTTAAAGAATATTGCTTGTGAAGCAACTTGGATATCAAAGTTATCGATATTCTGATGGTATTTAAAAGAAGGATATTGAAAAAAATCTATGTAATCACAGCACTTTGAGGAAACAACAGCGACACAATAAAAAATGCAAACTATCAAGTTTTCTAGTAAAACTACAAAGTATATTAACAGTGACGCTTTGTTCCCTGGTATTTATCAGTTTATTAATGAAGATTTTAAAAATGATTCTTATTTTATTATTACTGTTCGTCTAATAGCGCAATATGACGACATCAGTAAAAAATGGTTAGATTGCGATATAAGTGACTATAATTGTTGTATTTTGATAAATCCGACACTTGTTAAATTGTTCAATAGTTCTTTTGTTGGGCAATTTTTTATTAGGCAACATTTTCTAAATGTGATGCGGTTAAATGAGAAGGGCAAAACAATTTTCATGGTAAGTGATACTTATTTTCGCTGGGATAGAAAAAAAAAAAATAAACGCAAAAAATATGCCTTTAGTTTTGGCTGCTATCAGAAATTATCATGTCGAAGAATATGAAAAATATTCAAAGTCAGAAATAATCGAGCTAATGACAACATTTAATTACTTAAAAATGGAAGTTGACAAGTTAAGCCAGTTTTGTGCGCATAGGTATGAATATGAAATTGTTTTATGGACTGAAATAGAAAATGTTATAACTTATGATAAAGTAAAAAATGCAAATGCTGTAATGGAGAAGTTGGTTGACGAAGAACCTTAGCAATAATTGAAGAAAAGTTTTTATGATTTTATAAGAATTCAGAGATTTTAATATTTTTGTATTTGTATTTAATAGAAATAATTTTTAATGACGAATGAATTTTTTCGTAATTTCAATAGTTTGTACTCAATTTTTATATTAAAAATTTAAATAATAACTATCTTTAAATTTTTTTTCTTTTTTATTTACCTTTAGTATTTCCATATTTTTATTTTTATTTTGGAATAACCTCTTGAATTTTTAACAATGTGTTATATGCAGGGTTGGCATTAAAAAACCCGCCCAATAAAACCCGCCTAATAAAACCCAATAAAACCCGCCTAAAAAAACCCAATAAAACCCAGGCAATCTGGGTTTTTCTGAAATATATCTAAAAACTTATGAACTATTATATTAATAATATATACTATTATTAACCAACATTTCTGAAAACATAAACATATTATAGAGCTAGCTATAAAGGGAAATTTTCAATTTAAACACATCATTTTTATTTAACACAATTTTATTTTGGAAACCAAACAAATTAGATTCATTCAATAAGATTTTTTAGAATAGATACACATTGACAAGACTATTTACATTTTTGGTATACTTCTTGCAAATACAACTTTACTTTAATGTAATATTCACTTTATATTGTAAAAGCATAAATTCTTATGTAAAAACATAAACTATAAACTATTTTTGATACTGTTTATATATTTGCACAAGCTTTTTAGCCTTTTCACATCCTAATTTATTTCTAACTTTTGACCAAATAAAACCAAATGAAGAAAATATTCTTTCTATTGATCCTGAGCTAGCAGGGCACGTTTGAAGTTTAGAAATAAATTTGCAAAATCCTTCAGGCAATTTTTTCTGAATTGATTTTTCATTTCTCTGGTTAATGATAGACCACCAATCACTGCACAATATTGTTGATATAATTTGATTACTCAACATCCTTTTAGGAAATGCATCACAATCCTTTAATTTAAGCAAAATCAACCCAGGTACAAAATCAGGATAATGATTGTAAAGCCATTCTTCAGCCTCATCTTCATTTTCAATCGGCAGGTTTTTGCCTATAAAAAAAAAATTCAGATTATCATATAGGTGTGAAAACAATTTTTTTTTTAAGCAAAACTTATTTTTACCCAAAAAGCGAGGATTGGTCATGTATGCAAGATAATGGATAGGTGTCAAAGCATCATTACATCTCTTTTTGATAGCTGTGTGGTAATGACTTAGTTCAGGGTTATTCAGAAGTGAGAGCCACAACTCAACACATTCGGATAGGTGACAGCTGTCACTTTGCATCTAGAAAAAATTTAATTTTTAATTTATTTAATTAACATAATATATTTATTTTTATTACTTTTCCTTTACACCTACAAAATCTTATTATGTAAAAAAACTTTAATATAAAAAAATTAAATACTTGATCTAAAACAACACCAAATATTTTGAGTTGGGTTTGAAGACTGTTAGCTTCTCTAAATATTGCTCGATTTTCAATAATTTTTCTGATTTTGATAGGTATATCATGATTATCTACTATTTCTACATAAATTTGGTAGTTTTTTATGTATGTTTCTATACAGTCAATTTGGGAGTTCCATCGGGTATCGTTTGGTAACTGAGGCATATGCCCTCCTTTCTCACGCAACCATCCCTTAAAATAAAAATTGAATAGTTAATTTTAAACTTTTATATATTTTTTATACTCTAAGTTTAACCCACAAATACAAAATAATGTTTACATGCGGTTGATGTGTATTACGAAAATATTTCTGCACTTCAACCACATGTTTGATGACATCTGGGTGTGTTACTTCTTTTTCTAAAAGGTTTAAATAATGTGCAGAACACCCATATGTTAAAAGATTTGGATACGTTTCTTTGATTGAATCCCTCATTTTTTTCATCTTATTTTCATTATCTGTTACCACAGCAAATACTTCTTTATTGTATGTTTCTTAAAGATCTTTAATGACATTACAAAGAAGTTCGGTACAATACTTGGCTGTTTTTTTATTTGATGCACAATCAGTAATGCATAAAATTTTAGAATTAAGTCCGTCATATGCACTGTGAGCAATAATGGGATCATTAGTAACACTACTCCATCCGTCTTGCATAATTGTTATTGTTTTCTCTTCTTGGGTAAGTTGATCCATCATTTTTTTGTTTACTTCCTCATAAACTTTTTCTAAGAGCTCTCCTCCTAGCATTTTACGGTTAGGTGGTTTGTATCCTGGTCTCAATGAACTGATCATGTCTATAAATTCTTGATTTTCAGAAGTTTTAAATGATACATTTGCACTGAAGAAAAATTTTGCTATCTTTATATCAATATTTTCTTTCTGTTCCAGATTAGTTGATATTGTGTACGATGACATCAACCGCTGCTTCTTACAAGGTGTTAACGAACTTATAGAACTTACAGATCCCAAAGAACTTTTTCCAACTTGAGCTGATGGTCCAGCTATTAGAGATGATGGTCCATCTATTAGAGCAGATGCACTAATATTTAAATCATTATTTGGTACATCATCACAATTTTTATTTAAATATTTTGACAAATTGAGATTTTCTCTTTCTGTATGCTTGTGTAAAAACTTAAACTTTTTTTGGCAATGTTTTAAATGGGGTTTTACTCGTTCTATCTTGTTGCTAATCAAAGCATGACAATAGTCACAAGAAACCTTTGTACTGTTTTCAACTTCAGTCACTTCATCCTATTCTCCAGCTTTCTTTCTTCCACTTCCCATCGGCATTTTTAATTATAAAAAATATTATTATTAAATCTAAAATAAATCAATGCATATAGGTTTATCATGATTAAAAAAAACTTATTGAAAATAATTTGAGGTGTATAAATTTTAAAAACTTATAAAATATATTCTAAATAAACTTAAATAATTAAAAATAAACTTAAATAAGTTAAAAATGATATTAGTTTTCAATATTATTAAACAAACAAAAAAAATTTTTTAACAAAATTAAAAAAAATAAAAACCCAAAAAAACCCAATAATACCCAAAAAAACCCAAAAAAACCCACTGGGCCGGGTTTTTTTAAAAAAACCCGGGTTTTTGCCAACCCTGGTTATATGCATTTTTTTGTTCGTCATTCATTTCCATCCCTATTATATAAAAGTTAAAGGACAGTTTTGTATTGCTTTTTAGTGTTTTATGTTTAGTTAGTAATTGAAATAATGTTATATATTCTCAAGAATAGTAATAATGTCTCTATATTTAATGAAATATATATATGTTTTAAATACATATTTGTATAATATAGACGTAATTTCTTTTAACTAGAAATTGATAAAGTCCTTATTTACAGTTTATCTCTATTTTAAAAATATATCTATTATTTTTTAAGAATATTGCTTGTGAAGCAACTTGGATAACAAAGTTATCGATATTCTGATGGTATTTAGAAGAAGGATACTGAAAAAAATCTATGTAATCACAGCACTTTTAGGCAACAACAGCGACACAAAAAATGCTAACTATCGAGTTTCCTAGTAAAACTACAAAGTATATTAACAATGACGCTTTGTCTTCTTGTATTTATCAGTTTTTAGATAAAGATTCTAAAAATGATTCTTATTTTATTATTACTGTTCATCTAATAGCGCAATATGACGACATCAGTAAAAAATGGTTTGATTGCGATATAAGTGACTATAATTGTTGTATTTTGATAAATCCAACACTTGTTAAATTGTTCAATAGTTCTTTTGTTAGGCAATTTTTTATTAGGCAACATTTTCTAAATATGATGCAGTTAGCTGAGAAGGGCGTAACAATTTTCATGGTAAGTGATACTTATTTTCGCTGGGACAGAAAAAAAAAAATAAACGCAAAAAATATGCCTTTAGTTTTGGCTGCTTTGAGAAATTATCTTGTCGAAGAATATGAAGAATATTCAAAGTCGAAAATAATCGAGCTAAAGACAACAAATAATTACTTAAAATTGGAAGTTGGCAAGTTGAGCAAGTTTTGTGCGCAAAGGTATGAATACGAAACTGTTTTATCGACTGAAATATAAAATGTTATAACTTATAATAAAGTATAAAATGCAAATGCTGTTATAGAGAAGTTGGTTGACGAAAAACCTTAGCAATAATAAAAGAAAAGAAAAGTTTTTATGATTTTATAATAATTCAGAGATTGTAATATTTTTGTATTCGTATTTAATAGAAATAATTTTTAATGACGAATGAATTTTTTCGTAATTTCAATAGTTTGTACTCGAATTTTGTATTAAAAATTTAAATAATAACTATCTTTAAATTTTTTTTGTTTTTTATTTACCTTTAGTTTTTCCATATTTTTATTTTTATTTTGGAATAACCTCTTGAATTTTTAACAATGTGATATATGCATTTTTTTGTTCGTCATTCATTTCCATCCCTATTATATAAAAGTTAAAGGACAGTTTTGTATTGCTTTTTAGTGTTTTATGTTTAGTTAGTAATTAAAATAATGTTATATATTCTCAAGAATAGTAATAATGTCTCTATATTTAATGAAATATATATATGTTTTAAATACATATTTGTATAATATAGACGTAATTTCTTTTAACTAGAAATTGATAAAGTCCTTATTTACAGTTTATCTCTATTTTAAAAATATATCTATTATTTTTTAAGAATATTGCTTGTGAAGCAACTTGGATAACAAAGTTATCGATATTCTGATGGTATTTAGAAGAAGGATACTGAAAAAAATCTATGTAATCACAGCACTTTTAGGCAACAACAGCGACACAAAAAATGCTAACTATCGAGTTTCCTAGTAAAACTACAAAGTATATTAACAATGACGCTTTGTCTTCTTGTATTTATCAGTTTTTAGATAAAGATTCTAAAAATGATTCTTATTTTATTATTACTGTTCATCTAATAGCGCAATATGACGACATCAGTAAAAAATGGTTTGATTGCGATATAAGTGACTATAATTGTTGTATTTTGATAAATCCAACACTTGTTAAATTGTTCAATAGTTCTTTTGTTAGGCAATTTTTTATTAGGCAACATTTTCTAAATATGATGCAGTTAATTGAGAAGGGCGAAACAATTTTCATGGTAAGTGATACTTATTTTCGCTGGGACAGAAAAAAAAAAATAAACGCAAAAAATATGCCTTTAGTTTTGGCTGCTTTGAGAAATTATCTTCGCGAAGAATATGAAGAATATTCAAAGTCGAAAATAATCGAGCTAAAGACAACAAATAATTACTTAAAAATAGAAGTTGGCAAGTTGAGCAAGTTTTGTGCGCAAAGGTATGAATACGAAACTGTTTTATCGACTGAAATAGAAAATGTTATAACTTATGATAAAGTATAAAATGCAAATGCTGTTATGGAGACGTTGATTGACGAAAAACCTTAGCAATAATAAAAGAAAAGAAAAGTTTTTATGATTTTATAATAATTCAGAGATTTTAATATTTTTGTATTCGTATTTAATAGAAATAATTTTTAATGACAAATGAATTTTTTCGTAGTTTCAATAGTTTGTACTCGAATTTTATATTAAAAATTTAAATAATAACTATCTTTAAATTTTTTTTGTTTTTTATTTACCTTTAGTTTTTCCATATTTTTATTTTTATTTTGGAATAACCTCTTGAATTTTTAACAATGTGTTATATGCATTTTTTTGTTCGTCATTCATTTCCATCCGTATTATATAAAAGTTAAAGTACAGTTTTGTATTGCTTTTTAAAGTTTTATGTTTAGTTAGGGATTGAAATAGTGTTATATATTCTCAAGAATAGTAAAAATGTCTCTATTTTTAATGAAATATATTTATATAAGACATATTTGTATAATATAGACGTAATTTCTTTTAACTAGAAATTGATAAAGTCCTTATTTACAGTTTATCTCTATTAAAAAAAATATATCTTTTATTTTTAAAGAATATTGCTTGTGAAGCAACTTGGATATCAAAGTTATCGATATTCTGATGGTAGTTAAAAGAAGGATATTGAAAAAAATCTATGTAATCACAGCACTTTTAGGCAACAACAGCGACACAAAAAATGCTAACTATCGAGTTTCCTAGTAAAACTACAAAGTATATTAACAATGACGCTTTGTCACCTTGTATTTATTAGTTTTTAGATAAAGATTCTAAAAATGATTCTTATTTTATTATTACTGTTCATCTAATATCGCAATATGACGACATCAGTAAAAAATGGTTTGATTGCGATATAAGTGACTATAATTGTTGTATTTTGATAAATCCAACACTTGTTAAATTGTTCAATAGTTCTTTTGTTGGGCAATTTTTTATTAGGCAACATTTTCTAAATATGATGCAGTTAATTGAGAAGGGCGAAACAATTTTCATGGTAAGTGATACTTATTTTCGCTGGGACAGAAAAAAATAAATAAACGCAAAAAATATGCCTTTAGTTTTGGCTGCTTTGAGAAATTATCTTGTCGAAGAATATGAAGAATATTCAAAGTCGAAAATAATCGAGCTAAAGACAACAAATAATTACTTAAAAATGGAAGTTGACAAGTTAAGCAAGTTTTGTGCGCATAGGTATGAATACGAAATTGTTTTTTGGACCGAAATAGAAAATGTTATAACTGATGATAAAGTAAAAAATGCAAATGCTGTTATGGAGAAGTTTGTTGACGAAAAACCTTAGCAATAATAAAAGAAAAGAAAAGTTTTTATGATTTTATAATAATTCAGAGAAATTTAATATTTTTGTATTCGTATTTAATAGAAATAATTTTTAATGACGAATGAATTTTTTCGTAATTTCAATAGTTTGTACTCGAGCTTTATATCAAAAATTTAAATAAGAACTATCTTTAAATTTTTTTTCTTTTTTATTTACCTTTAGTATTTCCATATTTTTATTTTTATTTTGGAATAACCTCTTGAATTTTTAACAATGTGTTATATGCATTTTTTTGTTCGTCATTCAT